CCCCACCCAAACCAGTCAACCCTCGGACTCATCGTGGCGCCGTACTCAGCCTCGGGGCTGTGCATGTCTTCTCTCCAGAATTGACTTACGCGAATTCAAAATTCAGGTGACTTGCAAATAGGTTGTGCGAACAAATATATGGGCAGATCTTAGTAGCTAACAAAAGATATGAAAACAATTGTCGAAACAGATGACAAGCCAACCACTTGAAACTGCCACGTTGAGGGAAGCACCCTTTAATCTAAAAGTTACAATCTAAAACAGTAGTCCTCGATCTAAATTTATTAGGAGGGACTACCTAAGTTTGAAGTCAAATATGACAAATCCAGAAGTGACCGATTCTTCCATGGATGGTGTTTCATAGCTCCATGGAGCTACGGCACGAATGTTACATCATAATTAGTTTGCATGTAGATATGAGCATAGTTTACAATAAATTAAAGTATTGATAGGCGTATGAACAGTTATCCTGGCTACACGTGAACCAAGGGTGCACAATGTACTGCTGTGTTGTAAATGGCCAAAAACCCAATTACATTTGATTTGAAAATAAATGAACTTCATGCTGGACATACAACCATTTTTTAATGGGTTGTACAACAAGATTACTAGACTGAGGAAAAAAATTAAACAGAGATACCAAACACCACTGGAATAGTGTACTCCCTCCTTCCCAAAATGTAAGGCGGCGCTTGACTTTGCATAGCCTTTGATGCACCACTTGGACCATTAATATATACCAAAGTACATGGATTGAACATGTATAAATGGTGTTGTCGTATTTGTCTTGCAAAATAATTTTATTTCATGTCTTTATACTAATTTTGTAGATGTACAATAAGTGAAAATCATAGTCAAAATTGTGCGATGAAGACAAGAAAAAGTCAAGCGCGCCTTATATTTTGGGGAAGAGGGACTGCCACTACTTATTCTCAGTTTTTGTAACTGTTAGTTTTCGAATTGATCTTGAAACACATCAAATCTTCATGTAGCATATTGTTTCAACATGTGTACAAAATCATATGCGCTCTTTCCTTCAGAAAAGATGATGCATCTGTGTAAACTTCGTATGAACTTCATGTTAAGGTTTAAGAAAACCCCATGAAAAGCAAGTATCATCTAACAAACAGTAGGTCTCTCTGTTTTGGCACTATTCTTTTTCTGATTGTCAATTTCACAACTTTCAGGCTCAAAGTTCACACAGGTTAACGGGTCAACCCTCACTGACCCAAGATACTAGACTACTTGAGTAGACATGTGATAATCACTGATCTTGGACAGCATTTATTTACACAGCAATCATGCTACAAAATCTTACCACTTAATGTTATTTACTGAACAAATGAATTTCTCGGCCGTGTCATTTTTCCTTCTCTTTTTCTTTCGTCAAAACATTAATGCAAAAAGTACAGATGACATCATAACTTAAATGTGCATGTATTGTCTCCATCCTATATTACATCAAGGTAGCCTCCATTCTCCATTACAAAACTTCATTCCCTAGTATTTTCTAATCATATTTTTACAAAATTATAAAGATGTATTATGGAAATAATTTTGAGAACAAATCTAATGATGTCATTTCCAAGTGGGGGATCATGAAGTTTGAAAAACAATAAGTGCAGGCATTTCAAGATGATATTTGAAAACGAGGGAGTAAGGAGTAACGAGAAATAAATGGATCAGAGAGAATTAAGCTATTAGGTTTGTATACCTCATCAACAGCACACTTCTCTGATGTTTGCATATGCATGGCATTTGAAGGTTCCTGATCATTATTACATCGTACAGTCCCTTCCTGTTCTGATTCTAAGCGAGAAACACTACACCAATCAATTTTTTCACTATTCAAAAGATGGTGTGATGCTCTTCTCTCCTCAACGATGTTCAATACTTTCTTTGGCATTTCCACTGGAATTTTTGGGCAGCTGCTATCAGTAAGATGATCCTTCGCTGTAGTTGCGCCACCCTGTATTGAGTTATTACACTCTAATTTCAACTTCCGCAGCAAATTCAGAAGTCTATGAAAGTCTTACTCATTATAAGAAATATATAAGAACTGTCACTAAAGTGTCAGAGGCATGGATCACATCCCCTTGCCCATTAGATATAATTATAATACGTCACTTAGTAATGATATCTATTTAGCTAGGAAAGAGATTAGTTTAGTTAGCAAGATAAAGTATATGGTTTTTAAGGAAGGTCGAGATTCTAATCTTGGGTATCAAGTTGAGTCTTCCGTACAAAAGGGACGCCATGTACCTGTATGGACTATCCAATGAATGAGAATAAATTAGGAAAGGTATAATCCCTGTCCTCAACTTCTCCCCCTTTCATCCCCGGCACCATGGACGGACAATCCTCGGAGCTGTGCCCCAAACATTGTCACATATACCAATCATAGCACTTGACAGGCTGCTGGGATTTTAGCGATAGAACCATTGCCGAAAGTAGATGCGGAGACGATGTTCAATGACGAAGTTCTGCGATGCCTACCACTCCAGGAACCCTTGCTCGGGTGCTCCTCACAGTGTACTATATAGACATAATACAACCGGCAAGAAACCAACGAGTCTTTGATAACATCTCTGACCACCCACCACAGCCATTCTAGATACCTAGACATCAGTACCAATGGTGTCTAGACCGTCCTTCTCGTGATCCTGTGTCTATGCCTCTGCCTAGTGTAATTTGGTTGCCACAGCCTTTATATATTAGGTCCACGTTGAAGTGTTTGAATCCAAAACCAAACTCTCCACAAATACCAAGCCCAACTGTAGCACTACAGAAATATTCGACACAAACTCCAACAAACTTTAAAACTAGTGAGGTCAAAGCTCAAAACCAACCAATAAATCAATGGCACAAACACAACCAACCCTTTTCTCCAGGACAGACTAAACACTAAATATTATTTCTTACACCAGGTTTGGAAGGACAATTACCTGTTTGTTTTGTGAATTCTCAGTGGTCTTGTCCACAATCTGGTGCTCATTATTTAGTACATGATGCTTTTCATGCTCCATTGGTAACTGCTCCTCGGGCCAATCGCTGCATATCTTTGACTGTTCATAATTCTCAACTGGTTGTCCACAATGATGTTTACCGCATTGGTTGCTTCGAGCTGCCAACTTCTAAGAGAGAAAAAAATAGGTGGGTAAGTTCAGATGCTATAATAGCTACTTGGAAGAGCTAAGATGGGTTACAAGAGTTTTAAGAAACCGGTCAAAGGAAATTCTTGGCTCTCTTGCCCCCACGCCGTCTCCCCCGCGGGCGGCTCGGGCAGCGCCGCCACCTCCCGTCCCTAGCCCCCCTCCTCTCCCTTCTCCCCGCCACCGCCGGCCGGAAACACCTGGGCAAAGCCCCTGGTGGTGGCTGGTGACGGGGGGCCCTTCCTCTTCCGCACGGTCGCAGGCGGCGCGGGGCGGCCTGCCCGTCGGAGGCGTCAGGCGTGCACGGGGCCTGGCGACGCTGCAGCGGTAGCCCCGGACGGTGGCGTGCAGGCGGCGGCGGCATGGGCTCGGCGGTGGCGTAGCTGGCTGTGTGGTGGCGGGGCGTGTGCGTGGTGGCGGCGGGAGTCCTCTGGATTTCTTCTCCCCATGGGCGACGAGGGCTGCGGCGGCACGGGTCGTGGGCTGCTGCCCTTGCCATGGCCTACTGGTGGGGGTGGCGCGCGGCAGCGGTGGAAGTGTCGGTGGTGTGCGCTTGGCGGCGGCGGCTCCGTCAGATCCGGTCTGGCGGGCTCGTGGGCGTCGGGCGGCGCGGGGGCGGGCTGTGACCTGGTGGGGTCATGGCTTTGGCCGTGGTCCTCGGCGGTGAGCCAGCTGCTGCTGCTGGTGGCGATGGTGCCGGCCAGATCAACTTGGATCTGGCCCATGGCCGCCAGTGGGCAGCTCGGGGCTGGCCCTCGGGGCCCAGTGTGGATGTGGGCTGCCACGGAGTGGTGGTGGCTCATGGCGGTGGTCCGGGTCGTTCCTCGGCGGCGGCGGCCATCGGTGAGTGGCTCGCGAGGTGGCGGGTCGGTTGCGGCGGCGGCTGGCTTGTTCGGCGTCGGCTTGCTCGTAAGCGGTCTGTGTCGGCCTTCGATCCTTCTCCTCGTCGTCCGGCCGTTACTTTCGTCGAAGAGCTGGTTTTCTCCCAGCTGCGGCCCATCGCTCGTCTCGCGCCCGGTGCGGCAGGACTGAGCTCGTCTCGCGCACAGTACAGCAGGACCGAGTCCGTCTCGCGCACGGTGCAGCAGGACCAACCTCGCCTCGCTCACGGTGCTGCAGGACCAAGCTCGTCTCGTGCTCGGTGCCGCAGGACGGGTCGATGGAAGCCAGGCGCTGGGGGTCACCCAGGGGTGCTCGGTGCCGCAGGACGAGTAAGTAAGGAATAACAAAAAGTAAATGGATCAGCAATGATGTTTAACTTCCAAATACCATTATTTGAAGGTTGCTGATCATTCTTACATGGTAAATGATATTAGGTTAACTTTGTATACCTCATCAATAGCGCACTTCTCCGATGTTTGCATATGCATATCATTATTTGAAGGTTGCTGATCATTCTTACATGGTACAGTCCCTTCCTCTTCTGATCCTAAGCAAAAAACACTTATACAATCAATTTTTTCGCTATTCAAAATATGAAGTGCTGCTCTTTTCTCTTCAACGAAGTTCAATACTTTCTTTGACATTGCAATTGGAATTTTCAGGCAGCTCTTTTTTTTCGAGAAAACGCAAAAGCTTTGCGTTTCATTGTATTGAAAAGAAGGAGTTTGGTACAATCCTCCTTAGGAGGCTGGTTACAAGGCAAGTACAGGCACATTAGTGAACATCCCAGGTTTTCAGGCAGCTCTTACCAGTAAGATGAGCCTTCAATGTAGTTACGGCACCTTGTATTGAGTTATCACACTCTAAGTTCAACTTCTGCAAGAAATTTAAAAGTCTATTAACGTCTTACTCATTATAAGAAATCTATAAGTAGTATCACCAAAAGTCTGTTAGGATTTTAGGGATTGAATCATTGCAGAAAGTATGGCGAGGTGATGTTTGATAATGGGGTTCGGTGATGCCTACACTCTGGCAGCCCTTACTCGGGTTCTCCTCCATGTGTGCTAAATCGACATAGGCTACCCGGTGCCTTTATATATTAGGCACAGGTTATAAGTGTTCGATTCCAACACAAAACCCTCCACTAATACCAGTCCAAATGTAGCCCTATACACCATTCAACACAAATTTCAACAAACTTCAAAATCCCTATTATTGTGTCGGTTTTTTGAAGGAGAACTACCTCTCTATTTTGTGGATTCCCATTGTTCTTGTCAACAATGTGGTGCTCATTATTTAGTACATGGTGCTTGCCATTCTCGATTGGCAACTGCTCCTCTGCCCAATCACTGCCTTTCTTTGACTGCTCATAATCCTCAACTGGTTGGCCACTATGTTCTGTACCACATTGGTTGCTTCGAGCTGCCAACTTCTCAAAGAAAACAAACCAAAATAGGTCAGTAAGTTCAAATGCTAGAATAGTTTCTCGAAAGAACTAAGATAAGTTATAAAAAAACAAAATGATGGCGTATCTGGTGTAAACCCCCTTTTCTATTTAAACCCGAACCCATGTGAACTTTGTGCGCATGTTTTTTGAAAGTAGATTTCATTGTTTTGGCACTCCTTTTTCTGCTTGTCAATTTTACAACTTTCAGATGTAAAGTTAACACTGAAAGACATAGTGAGCGGTTAGATAGTCCACATGCCAAATTTTAAATTGCAACATGCTAACTTATAGGTGCCTGACGGAGTAGAACCCAGCAGACCCCTCGATGGAGTGTTGTGACTAGCCGGAAAGAGCAGACGGGAAACAGGAGACCGGATTACCTAGGTTCAGACCCTCGCGGTGGAGGTAAAGCCCCTACTCCTGCTCATGTTAGATTGGTATACAGGGTAATGGTGAATCAAGGGGTGATGGTAGGTATGAGATTGGATGCCCTATCGACTAGCCCTGCCCCGAGTTATAAAGGATGCCTGGGGCCTAGGGTTACAAGAATCCTAGCCGATCTAAGGAGGTGGAGGAATCCTCCTAGGACCCGGCTTCCTGGTCTTGCGCTCCAAGTACTCAGGGTCCTTCCTTCTAAAGGGCCCACGGCCCGGGATGATGTCCCAAGGCATGTATCAACCTTGGGGGGCCTCGGGCCGGCTTCCGGTGGCGCGAGGCACCCCTGGGCTATAACACCATCAATGCCCTCAGAAGTAATTCACACTCATGGATCTTGGACCTTGACTCAGGACAACCCGCACTGACTCAAGATACTTGACTACTTGGGTAAACATGAAATGACATTGATTTGCAAAGGAATCTTACTACTTAATGTCATTTATCAAAATGAATCAATTTCTAGACCGTGTCTTGTTATGTTCCCTTTTCTTTTATTTTCTTTTCATAAAAAGGTCACTGTGCAAAGTACCAGTTGCATAACTTGATAAGCTTTTACTGTCTCCATCCTCTTTACTTGTTTCCGAGTTCACACACACAGACAGTCTACATTCTCCAATACACAACTTTGTCCACTAGTTTTTCTAAATATATATTAGCAAAATTATAAACACATAATTATGGATGTAATTTCTAACAAATATGATGATGGCATTCAAGGTGAGAAGACTTATTAATGACCAAAGTTTAAAAGATACACCCGACATTCAAAGTCGTAACGATTTGAGAACGGAGGGAGTAAAGTGTAACATAAATTAAATGAATCAGCAGGAATTAAATTATTGGGTTCGTATACCTCGTCAATAGTGCAATTCCCTGATGTTTGCATATGCATACCATTATTTGAAGGTTGCTGACCATTCTTATATGATACAGTCCCCTCCTCTTTCACTTCTGAGCAAAAAAGACTAACCCCATCAATTTTCTTGTAAGGGGGCCATGGGTCCCTATTAAAAAGTTGGCGTGCTGCTCTTTTCTCTTCAACGAAGTGCAACACTTGCTTTGACATTTCCATTGGAATTTTCGGGCAGCTGCTGTCAGTAAGATGAGCCTTCAATGTAGTTACCCCACCACTTCGACATAAATCACACCACTTGCACTGCCACCGTTTTTTATTTCCATCAAGATCCACTGCATGCTCCCACCCAATATCCCTTACCCCTCGTAGCAACAAGGGAGGCTGCAAAACAATGTAAAACATGGATCAGTACAAGGTTACTGGTAGTGCTCAGAAGATGTACACAAAAATTTATGAGATGTAAATATAAATAATCAGGACAAGGATTTTGTGCTCATGGTTGGGTTTGTACTTATTTTGATTTGTGCACTTCAAATGAGCTTGGGAATATCATAGATGTAAAGAGATGATATAGCATGTGCACAAGCAAAACAATGTACAAACATATGACAGTTTGTGCACTGTTCTTAAAAGATGAAAGAGGAAGAATGTTCTCGCCAAACATATTTTCACAAACTGTCTGTTTTGACAGTGCATGGGTGATTTTTTATTTCGAATCACACTCAGCAGTGAGCGCTAGTCTTCAAGGGTACTAAATCCAGAAATTTCACAATCTCACAGTGATAGTTTGACATTTTTATTTTTACGGATGGCTTTATGGTGTCTTATTAAGTTTAATTGCCTTTGGTTGATTCTAGATTTTCTGAGGTACCACTGCGGATTTGAGCTGAAATCGGTTAGGTGTTATAACATACCCATTCCAGGTCCACAGGTGCATGAACCTAAAGTAAGCATCCCAGCGAATCAACTATCCAATAATGTGATTCTTTATAACTCCAGATGAAACATTTGGTCATCATGAACAGAACCATTCTATTACTCCTTTATGCTAAATTAGCTAAACAATAGTAGGTGTCACTCTGAACAGAAAATAAATTAAGGGAAAAGTACACTTATCCCTTTGTATACCCTAAAAATGGTAGGCTCCTGATGATCCGCATTTGTCAGGTTAGTGCCTTCTTCAAGAATGTAAGTGTCTATTCGAGTTGGCACCTCTAAGTCAACAGGTAAAGGATCCTTCTCAGCCTTGGTATCATCAGCAGAGCTCCTGGTCACACTGTTGACACCATTCTGTGCAGCTCGCGTCTTTCGTCTCTCTCTTTTCTTCTGCAAATGCTCCCTAATATTTTCAGCAACGTCTGCTGGAACCTTTGGGCACATTTTGACATCCAAATCACCAGCAAGATGCCGTTTGAGTCTAGACACACCACCACCATACCTAGTCAGGTGACAATACATACACTTCCAGTGTTGTCTGTTTTCATCAATCATTATCCCGTGCTTCCATCCAATATCCCTACTTTTCCAGAAAGTATCAGTAACCTGCAAAAAGTTATGATCTCTTGAACAATGATACAGAAGTAGTAAGATCAACTTTGCATTATATATGCAAATATAAGTAGCTCATTCAAGTCATAATAAATGAAGGCCCTGAAATAGAGTTTAATAGGTCAGCAAGAATGTCACTTACTGAAGAAAAAGATAGAAACAAAATTAAAGCTGGCAAAGTAAAAGGTATAGTTTTAATCTATGCAACACCAACACGGATATGTGACAAATTGGACAGGGGGGTACTTACATTTTTATAAATGCTAATACACAGTGGTGGCTTGACGCTGGTGATTTGTATTAGTTTAACATTAACTCTCCCGATACTTGGTGGACATGTATCCAGCATGTATCCATATAACATAGGGTATCCGACAAGATACGCCAGGTTTTGCATGTTCTGTTATTTCATTTTCACAGGTTTCAATACTAGCTGGAGAAAGGAAAAGTTCCTCCATGCTACTCTGTTTGACCGATAAAACAGATTGGCAGAGATACTACTCAATGTTTTTCTTTTCTTTTTTCCAAGAAATAACCACTCAAGCTTTTGACACGGCAAAATCAAATGTGACACTCTTTTACCATTAGCAAAGTAATTTCCAGATTGCAAAAGGCAAAAGCTAAATGTTGCCCCCAGCAAATTGTTTGGCGAGCATAAGATACTCTGTAACCAGAAATTTGCAGTCATGGAGACCAAAAGCATATAATAGACCACTGATAAACAAGCTCTTATACTTACTCATCAATTCTTCACCCATTTGATTACCGAGGTCAAGTGGTAATCCTGGAAAATCATAAGGCTCTGGCAATATGCACCCTATCACTGATGCCCTCCCGCAGTCATGCAACTACCAAGTTGATGCCACTAATCCATTCTAAAAGGCCAAAATAAAATCTTTGGCTAGCGTAAAGCCCTAACTATGCCACATTACAACTGAAGTCTCTTTCTAACTCAGCACCATGTAATACACAGATTTCAGTTGAAGATTACACCTGCTGCTCCGGCACATCCACGGGCTTGGGCTCAGGCTCAGGCTCTGGCTGACGGCGTCTCTTGTATGTGCGCAGAGCCTCCTGGGACGACCAATCCCGCAAATGCATCTTGTCATTCCCTTTGTCCTTGTTGGCATCCATCTTCCACCGCCAGGGTTTCGGTCAAGAAACCAAATATTCCTGCATCCATGCGAACCAACATCCTCAGAAC